GTCCCTCTTCAGCGCTATACCGCGTCGCCCAAGCTAGCTGTAACTTGAGAGCGATGATTATATTTAAATTTGCGCTCGGCATATCCAGAAGGCTCGCGCCAAATATGCCAGCTCTTATCTTCACTTGTTTACGTGTTTTGAGAGGTGTTGTGTGAGCTGGTTGTGGCTTTGCATGGCTGGGTGTCTTCGAGTGGATGGGGCGACTGTCACTGCGGAGGAGGGCCTCTGTATAGGCCTCTCTGGGACCCCTCTTTGGCCTCTTCCCGGCCCCTCGCGGTGGCGTCTGGGATGCCCCATGGGGGTCTTCGGGCCATCTTGAGGGATCTTAGGGCCGCGGGGAAGGGTCAAGGCGCTTGTTCTAGAGGGTTCTGGGCTGTCTGGGGGCCTCTCTGGGGGCCCGCCTGGGCTGTCTTGTGGCCCCGTGGAGGTCGCCTCCCGCCGCCTTTGAGCTTCTCGGGCCCCTCTCGAGCCCTCTGAGATCTTCGGAATGACATTGGAACGCAAAAAACACATCGAACGACTGACGGACATGCAAGGGTTTTTGGGGCTCTCCTGGGGCAGCTCTTGTGTCCTCTCGCGCGCCTCTTGGGGCCTTCTCTCGGACCTCGTGCACTGGGAGAGGCCTCTTGGGCTATCCTGGCATTCTCTGAGGGCCCTCTTGAGCCGTTTAGGTGGCATACTGGCGCTCTCTTGGGGCGTCTAGGAAGTTTCGGATGAGTTTAGACCCACCTGGATGACTTCGCCCCCCTCATCTGCGCAAGGCCCAGCTCGCAGTCATGTCTGTGTGCAAGTACTCCCGACCTTCTGCAGCCGTCCTCGGCCCTGATTCAATCACAAACGAATCGAAGTCTAGACAAGGTACCGAGAGCAATTTCATGCGATCGGAGTTCACAACATGAGGGTTCTAATAGGGTCGCGCATTCGATGGGGGCGGGGGGTATGAACTAGGAGCGGGAGGAACGAACGTCTTGTTTTTTCTTCCCTATCTTATCCTCTGCCTCGTCCTCCTTCTTCGCCTCCTGCACCTCCTTCCTGCCAATCGGTGCACCCCTCCTCAACCACTCTTCCTCCCTTCTCTCCCTCGCCCCTGCCTCCCTGAAGACTCCCTCCTGGTTCCCTCTTCCTCCTGCGACCCGTCCCTCGTTCTCCCTCTTACTCCCTGCCGCCCTCGAGGTGATCGAGGAATGGGAAGGCGATAATGTCGGGACGGGTGGAATGGGAAGGGCACGATCTCTGACACATAATACGGTTTGCGAGTGCCTGCCGCGGTCTGGCGGGGCCTCCCTGGAAGGGGCAAGTGGTGCTGGTGGGAAGTGTGGAGTTGGAAGGACGCGATCCCTGATAATCAGCACGGCTTGCGGTTGCCTGCCTCTGTTTGACGGTGCCACACTGGAAGGGCAGGCGGCGGTGTTGGGACTGATGGTATGGCAGGTGAGCGATCCCTGACGAGCACGGCTTGCGAATGCCTGCCGCTGTCTTGCGGGGCCGCCCTGGAAGGGGCGAATCGTCTTGGTGGGACTATAGTGGAAATCCATGCCAAGAAACACCCTGCCTTCCTCCAGGGTGCCCTGGGTTTCGTGGGTTTAGATGGTTCTGCTGTGGAAAGCGTGGCGCTCCCACCCCAAAAACCAGTGGACGGACGTCCTGGGATCTCAGGGTTGGGTTTCTTGTGGACGGTTTCTTGTGGTCGAGTTTACCCTGTAGTGGAGTTGGAAGGGCACGACCCTTATGAATGGCACGGTTTGCGAACGCCTGCCGCGGTCTGGCGGGGCCGTTCTGGAACATATAGTACGGTTTTTGCGGATGCTTGCTGCGGCGTGACGCGGCGTCCCTGCAGGGGCAGACGGCACTGTTGGGGGACTTGCGGGGCGGGAAGGGCACGATGCTTGATTAATCAGACAGTTTGCGAGTGCCTTCCGCGGTGTGGCGCGGCCTCAAAAGAGAGACAGGCCGTATTTTTGGATCTGGTGGAGCGTGAAGGGCACAAGTTCTGACAAACGCCACAGTTCGCGAATGCCTGCCGCGGTGTGGCGCGGCCTCCCTGGAGGGGCAGCCAGTACTGCTGGGACATCCTGGGGTGGGAAGGGCACGATCCCTGGTTATCGACACGTTGTGCGGATGCCTGCCGCGGTCTGGCGTAGGCTCCCAGGGCACGATCCCTGATGAGTAGCACGGTTTGCGAGTGCTCGGCGCGGTGTGGCGGGGCCTCCCTGGAAGGGCAGGCGGTGGTGGTGGCGCCGGTGGGCACCACCCCTGACAAATAGTGCGGTGTGCGGACGCCCGCTGTGATCGGGCGTGGTTTCCTTGGAGGGGCAGGACGGCACTGCTGGGACATCGTGGAGTTGGAAGGGCACGGCCCCTGATGCATACCACCGTATGTGGATGCCCGCCGCAGTCCGGCGCGGCATCCCTGGAGAGACAGGAGTAGGGGAATGTCGGAGAAAGCAAGAATCAGGACGGGAAAAACCATACAGACACAATCAATCGTCGATCCCCAGGAAAATATGGGAACATGTGGGAAGTGGGGGGAAGACGAGAACCCAGAAAATGCTGGATAATATGGGGAATCCTGGGATTTGTGTGTATTTATTTGTGCGTCCTTGGGCCCCTAGCAAGAACCCCACTCAGGAGGTGGGGAACACATGTTCGTGCAGAAAAAGGGAGCTGGAGACCATCCGAGAAGTTCTGGTCTTATCAACGTGCGCACTGCGTGGATGTGCATCAAACAGATGGTACGCGAGCACCAATGCCAGTATTTTGCGCCATCGTATCGTATACCTCCCCACGCAGTGCTTGCATTCAGGACTTCTGATGCTCGTTCTGAGGAGCCCACACTGCGTGGCGCTCTTCTCTGTGGGTTTTTAAACTCCTGCAGCGTGTATGGCTGTATGGGCTCCTATGGCTTTCCGCCCTACTTCTTCTGCGTGCGCGCACTTCTCAATGGGATCTTAGACTCCAGTGGCTAGGTTTCCTTTGTGACCTCCAGCGACTTCCCACCCCACTGGCCCTAGGTGACGTACTGCTCGGCGACTGATCGGACTCCTATGGTTTGGCCTCCCATGTGGCTTCCTCTGGCTTCGTGCCCCGCCGATCTCTGCGTGCCGCACTTGTCGGTGGGTGTTGGGGCTCCTATCGCTGGTTTCCGCACTCATTGTGGCTCCACACTCACGCAGGGTTCCGCACACGTAGGGTTTCATACGCACACGCACACGCACACGCACACACACACACCTGCACACACCTGCACACCTGCACACACCTACACACACACCTACACACACCTACACACACCTACACACACCTACACACACCTACACACACATCTACACACACACCTACACACACATTCACACACATTCACACACATTCACACACGCGCGCGCACACGCACACACTCACACACGCACACACGCACACAGAGTTTCGCACTCACGTGTGGTTCACAGGTTTCGCATGCATATGGTTCCGCACACAGGGTTCCACACACAAAGTGTTGCACACATAAGGTTGTAAACGTAGGGCTTCGTACACATGACTCCACCTATCAACTGCTTGGGGTTCACGGGCTGATATCATTTTGCTGGAAGGTTTGAGCGGATGTTTCATTCGCGCACTCCTCGACCTCCGCTGCGTCGAACGTGGTCTACGTGGTGGTGTGACGCATGAAAGCAGGTGCGTGAACCCCCGCGAGGAAGTAGTACGAAACCCGTTCTTGACCATTCTAACACGCGACGGTAGCAGACAATTGGACACCCACGGGGCAGGGGATGGAGCGCAGCATCGTTGGAGGTGCATGTGCATTCCTTTTCAATCCAGTACCCATGACTACCCGCCCGCAAAATCGTAGAGTAGCTCAGAGTAACCGCCGAGGTCCTTCGGAACCCGTGAGGCCAGGGTGGACAGTTCCAGACGCTTCGCGTAACCCCACCAGCTTCCGTAGCCTCTGGCTCAAGCCGCTCTGGCTCAAGCAGGCCTCAGCGGCTGGCCGGGCCCCCGCCCCTCGGTCCTCGGCCTCCCCGCCCGCGGGGGCGTGCGAGGGGGTCGCCCCCCTCCGCGCCCCCGCTCGCTCGGCCATGGCGTCGCGCTCGGCGCGGCGGCGGCGGCAGCGGCGCGCCGCCGCCTGCTGCGCCGCCGCCGCGGCCGGCCCGGCCGGCCCGCTACCGCCGAGGCCCAGCGTGGCCCCTGTCGGCCTCGGCATGGCCGGCGGCGCCGCCGCCGCGGCCGCCGCCGCCGCCGCGGCCAGCCGCCGCCGCCGCGGCCGCCGCGCCGGGCTGCCCGCCGCGGCGAGGCCGCCGCGGCCGCCGGCGCCGTGGCGCGCTGCTGCGCTGGGGCCTGCCGCGGCGGCCGCGGCCGCCGCGGGTGCGGCGGCCGCCGCTGTGGCCGCCGCGGCCGCGGGTGCCGCCGTGTCCGCCGAGGCGCCCGCCGCGGCCGCCGCTGCCGCCGCCGCCGCCGCTGATCGTGACGCTCGGGGCGGCGGCTGGCTGGCAGCGGCCGCTGGTACCGCCGCGCCTGCCGGTGCGCCCTCCGCGGCCGCCGCTGCCGCCGCCGCCGCCGCGGCCGCCTCTGGCGGGCCACTGGCGGCGGCCGCCGCCGCTGGCCTCCCTGGACTCCCCGCTGCGCGCCTTCGAGAGCGAGCTGGGCGTGCAGGCGCTGGTGGGCTTCCGTACGACCCCTCGAGGGTTCCCGGCAACTGCGAGAACGGCGGCGTCCTGGGCGTGCCCAACGGCAGCACCTTGCCGGCCGGCGAGACTTAGTCCCGCAAGTTGAACGCCGAGACCGCGAACGGAAGGCTGGCGATGATGGCGATCATCGGGATGTTCTACCAGGGCGGCCTCTCGGACAGCGCGTGGGGCGACTGGGCGCTGTACAAGGACTCCCCGCTGCGCGCCTTCGAGTGCGAGCTGGGCGTGCAGGCGCCAGTGGGCTTCTGGGACCCCGCAGGCTACGCCTCAGTCCGGGCGCCCGCGCTTCAGGGCCTGCCGCGCGACGTCGCCCAGCAGCCGATTTGCGTGCGCTACGCGGGCGTGATCCCACGACAGTCGGTGCTGACCCGGCAGCAGGCGCGCACCCTCCAGGCCATGCTGGTCACCATCTGGTCGAGGCACATCGCCCGGTACCACGAGGGGGAGAAGTTGCGCGGCGTGGAGCTCGGCACGAATGCGGCGCCTGCCCACGAGAATGGTCACGCGCTGGCCCAGCGACCCGGCGGCAAGCCCGGTGTGTGGTGCCGGAAGTGCGGCAAGTTTGTGGAGAGATTGCAGCACGTGCGCCTCAAGATCACGGGCAAGCCGTGCGAGCAGGCGGCCCTGCCGCCAGACCGGTGGCTGACGCAGGAAGGCTACAACAACTCGGCGTCCAGGCTGGACAAGCTGGAGGCCGAGCTCAATAGCAAATACAACCGCGGCCAACGCGAGCTCCAGTGGAACAGAAAGACTGGCAAGGACATCGGTAGTGAAGACGAGGGCATCATTAGATGCCTTAAATGCCAGCGCATGTGGCGATGGAAGGACAGGGTGAACAACCTGCCGCGCGTCACGGTGTGCAGAGCGCCGGGAGAGGCCCCAGCACCGGCAGCAGTAGCGGCATCCTCCTCTGGCGGAGGTAATGGAAGTGCCGCGGGATCGGCGCCCCCGGCAGCCGGTCCCCCGCCGCCGGCAGCGCCGCCGCAGGCGGCAGCCAGCACAGCCGCAGCTTCCGACGCAGCGGCACCCGGCCGCAGCGGCAGGGGAGGGCGAGGGGGCAGGGGCGGAGGGCGCAGCCCGAGGCCAACAGGACGAGCAGGAAGAGGAGGACGCGGAGGAGGAAGAGGCGGAGTCAGTGCAGCCACACCACCAGGAGGAGGCAGAGGAGGAAGAGGCGGAGTCAGAGGAGGAGAAGGAGGTCGAGGAGGAGGGCGGGCCAAGGGTGGCGGGACCGCGGCGGGCGGTGCTGCAGCGCCGGCGGCGCAGCCGCAGCAGCAGGCTGCCCCATCAGCACAGGCTGGGGCAGGCACGAGGGGGCGAGGTGGCGGAGGACGAGGAGGCAAGGGAGACGGAGGAGGAGGAGACAGCAGAGGAGGAACCAGAGGAGGCGGCGGACGCCGGGGAGGCAGAGGAGGGCGAGGAGGAGGAGGAGGAGGAGGAGGAAGGGCAGCAGCACCAGCCTTGCAGCCGGCGGGGAGGAGGGGGAGAGGATTCGCCATCCCCAGGAGCGGAGATGGATGAGGGCGGCGGCCCAGAGCTGCACGGCTGCGTGCCGGGCTGCTCTGGCAAGTCCCAACTTCTGGGACCCCGCAGGCTTCGCGCAGGACGGTCACGCCGCGGCCTTCAAGAGGCGCCGCGAGACAGAGATCAAGCATGGGCGCGTGAGCATGCTCGCCACGATGGGCTACATCACGCCCGAGGTCGCTGGCAAGTTTCCTGGCGAGATCTCCCCGTCTCTCGAGGTGAAGTTCGAGGACGTCCCGAACGGGCTGGCTGCCCTCTCCAAGGTGCCAGGACCCGGATGGCTGCAGATTGTGGCGCACCGCCTCTACTGCGAGTCGGGCCCGTTCGGGTACAACTCGGACCCTAACAGGAAGCCTGGCGAGCTCGGATGGAGGCCTATCGGTCTCTACAGCACCGACGCCACGGTCAGGCAGCGCAGGTTGAATGCCGAGATCGCGAACGGCCGCCTGGCCATGATGGCGAACCTCAGCGCCATCTTCGAAGTCCCCGCGGCAGGCTTGGGGCAAATCGTGGCCTACTGTATGCTTTGCGAGCTGTTCCAGGACCAGTCTGCTGGCACCGATGTCTCGGCGGGCGACTTCGACTGGAAGGTGCTGGCGGCCAGCGTCGCCGCGGCGAGGCGGTCGAAGCTGGCGGCTAAGATTGCCAACCTTCGTCTGGCCATCGCGGCGGTCAGCGGCATGCTCTTTCAGGAATTGGAAGGCGTCCCTCCCCCCCCTTTACTTCCCCCGTCACGGGGCCAGGAACTCAGAATTTCGAGGCGGCTCCAGCCGTGGTGGCCAGGACGACTGACGACCATCCGGGGGATTCTGCCACGACTGAAATGTGGCCCGCTAGGCCAGAAGGGAGCGCGGTTTCGATATTACCGAATCCCAGAAGTGAAATGGGGCCCGTTAGGCCAGATGCAAATCGTGGCGTCTCGAGTCCCAGCCCCGCCCCCGACGGCCGCCCTGAGCACGGGCCACTTCAACGCCCCGTGACGACGACAGACGACCATCCTGGGGATCTGCCACGCACAGCGACATATCAGAGCATAGCAGCAGCAGCAGCAGCGGCAACGTGCCACCCCCCGTTTCGTCGACAGACGATGACGTCCCAGAGGGGAATCGAGAGGCGGTTGAGGCAGAGGTCACGATACCACCCCCCGCATCGTGGTCAGACGATGACGTCCCAGTGGGGAATCGAGAGGAGGTAGCCAGCAGTGACCAGTGTACAGCTCGCACTACCCCCCCCTTCAGCTGTGCCAGCAGGCCAGGGGAAAGGAGCGGGAAGTCACGGCGGAGACGGCGGAGGCCGCGGAAGCCGCGGAGTACCCCCTCAGGACAATCAGTCCGTCAGCAGTCCTCTGGGAGGGCCACGCGCCGCGCAGGGGGGCCAGGTTGCAACCGCCCAGACGCAGGACAGCGAAGCCACCCGCTGGCTCGTCGGGAGAAACCTCTTCGCGCCTATCCGCCCCCCTTCTCCCGTCAGCGAGCTTCTTATGGACGGCGAACCTCAGGCGCCCTCGCCAGGCGTCCTGGGCGCCACTGGCGAAGCAGCTTGCGCCCCGGCTATGGAGGCTGTGGCGCCGTGTGTGCTCGCGCCCGGCACGGCCAGTGGCGCCCCTGAGGCTGGAGAGAGTCCTGCGCTGCCCAAAGGGGGCGCACCTGGGAGCGACGGCCGGCGCAGGGCCGAAGGCGAACGCCAGCGACAGGGGCCCCTCCCCACGTGCCACAAGGCTGCGTCTGCCCTGGCCGCCCGACGCGACCCGACCCCAGCCTGGCGGCCAACCGCGCGGCCTGCACTTCCCCGCGAAACCCTGCCAGGCGTGCAGCTGGAGCTGTCGCGGGCAGATTGCGAGCCCCCCAGCCAGGACAACGAGGCCCGTGCGGTGGAGACTTGCGGCCGGGATACTCGGCGGCACCAGAGGCCCGACCCGCGTCAACGGCCAGAGCCTAAGGACCCCGACGCGGGACAACAGCTGTACACAACAGGAATCAACAACATCCAGTGGGACCTCCCCGGGGAGACACCCGGCGAGGCGATGCGCCGACTCCAAGTCACACTGGGACCGATGTTCACGGGCACCTGGCACGCTTTCGCCAAGCAGCAGTTCGTGCCCGGCAGCAGAGGCGCGCTCGACCTGCTTCGGCACGACCCGCAAACCTGCCACCTCTTCCTGGAGTCATTCCTCAGCGACGCGCTGGACCTCGACGTCGACTGGACTCGGCCGTGGCAGCTGCACCGGGGTCGAAGCGGCAGAGTGAACAGTGATCACCGCGCGGCAAAGGGCCACCCGAACCACCAGGCCCCCAAGGAACGCAAAAAAACAGTGGTGGGCCGTCTCCCCACTGTAGTCTCGGCTTCTGTTTCGTTCAGAACTTCTATCTCTTCATCTTGGCTGTTGTCTACGTGCTGCGTGTGTGGCTATACCGTCGACCTCAGAAATTTTCTCCTCTGTCTGCGTGCTGCGTGTGTGGCTGCGCCGTGGGCAGTCTGGATTTCCACCCTGAGACCCACCTTCTCTGTTGACTACGCGTCGTACTCCGTTCTCATCAGCGCGATTGGGGGTCTCATTCCTTTTCCCTCTTGGTCCTGACGTGCTGTTGTCGGACGTGCCGTGCAGCTCCATGAAACGACCATGCAGTTCCAACGTGACGACGACGAACGCAGTGTGGACTCTGCAACTGCAGTGTGAAGGTTGGCGTGACCCGCAGATTCTCCTGTTGCTTGCATCCTGGCGCCGGGCTCCCTGGGGGGCCGTTGCTGGTCCCGGGTCCGCCCTCTGTGGCTCTGGTACTCTTGCATCCCGTTTCCGTCGGTCTGCGGGATCGCCTACAGAGTTCAGCGGCCACTGGCTGCGCCCCCTCTTCCTTATCATTCGCAATGTCTCTGCGGCTCCTGGCTGCGCCCCCCGCCGGACTCATTCGCAATGCCTCTGCGGCTCTTGGCTGCGCCCCCCCATCCTGTTCGCAAAGATTGCACCAATCACTGCGTGTCAGGCAACTGGGAGACGGCAGTGAAGGAGGCGTCCGGAGAAAGACGATCTGAGCCATAGAAGTCGGCAGCGCTGGCCCCCCACCTGGAGGACAGGCGGGCAGGTCTCCCCCGCGGCGACGAGGCGCCACCACAGGGACTGCTGTGGGGAGAACAGAGAGAGGACCCAGAGCAGGCAGCACTGCTCCAGTGGGTCGCCCTACCCCCCTCCTCCTGAGAAAGGGACGCTGTGCGCCTTGAGGCTTTTGGAGACTCGCCACGGCGTCACTCCCATCCCGTAGCGCGTCAACGTTGTCAACGTTGGGCCCCCCCTCCTTCCTCTCCCGCTGCCAGCGGGATCCCAGGGCTGT